CTGGACAGGGACTCCTCTACTTCCCACCCTTTCTGGGATGTCAGTCCCGCCCCCTCCCTCCTCCCAGGCAGAGGAAATGGCTGGGCGGATGAGAGAGTGACAGAGAGCGTGAGAAAGAGGTGCCTCCCAGCCCCAACACCATCAGGCAGCCTCTAGACCTGGACTGGGCTGGGAAGTGGCAAGTCTGCTGCCTGTTCTCCTGGGGCTCATGGGGATCTGTCTTTCGGCATTGGGGAAGGGTGGTGGGTCTCTCTCTCTCTCTGGGAAGGTCTATGTTTTTGTCTCTCTGGCCAAGTTGGGGTGGGGGTGGGGCTTTATTTCTGTGTCAGTCCCATGGGGGTAAGGAGTCCTCTGTCCTGCAAGGTCTGTGCATGTGTTCCTTTGGGTTGCGTGTGTGTTTATCTGTTGTTCTTTTGGGCACAGGATTCTGTGCGACTTTCCCTGCAAAAGGAAAGGGCTATTTATCCACCCTGGTAAGGGAGTCTAATACCACTGGGGGCTGCTTTACTCTCCCTCGTTTCTTGTGGAGCAGGGGGCTTCTCTGTAACTATCCTTAGGGTACCCCAGTTACATGGGATGGGGTCCAGGTCTCCTACTTGGCCTCCCGCAAGATTGGGTTCTCTGAGTAGGAGCCCCTTCTCTCCAATGTGCCAGACTAGGAGGGCAGGGACACTCAGCACCCTGCCTGCCTGGCTTGCAGCTGGGCACTGCTCCCTGCTAACGCAGCATGTACCAGGACAGGGCCCTCCCCCTATCCCCCACGAACTCCGCTCCCTGGCCCAGCTGCCACCCCCAGCCCCCACGGTCATGCCTGAGTAGGGGCTGCACAGTGCCAGCTCCTGGGTCAGACCTTGAGGAGACCTCAAGTGGCAGGGTCAGGGTCCAGCAGGAGGCAAAGGGGAGCCAGGGTGGTGGAAGGACCACTGGAGCAAGGGCCAAGGGGTGGGGGGCGGGAGACAGAAGCCAAGATCAGAGCCTCCAGGGCCCCATAACCCTCTGGCCAGCTCTGAGTCCAGCTGGGGACCCTGGAATGTGCCTCCTGCCCCCAGAATGTCCCTGGCTGTGTAGAGAAGGAGGTGTGGGGTGGGGAGGGTGCTTTTACTCGGCTTTGTACTAACTCCTTCCTGCCCTCACCACAGGGAGCTGGAGGTTTCAAAGTCCCACTAGCCAGCCTGAGCCTTACCCTGACAGACCCCCTGTCTAGGGCCAAGGCAGAGCCTGGAAAAGCCTGAGCCTGGAGCAGGGGTGAAGGCAGAGGTTTGGGCTGGGCTCTGGCTGCTCCGGAGAGGCCAGAACAGCTGCTGGCTGAGTGGTGGAGCTACAAGGCCAGGCCCAGACAGGGATGGAAGGCAGGTGGACAGAGGGTCACCCATTTAGCCTCATCTTCTGAGGAGATTCAGTGACCCTGGAGTCTCTGCTGCAGTCAGGAACTTGGTGGGGGCTGGGGCTTGTCCGTATTTAAGCTAGAATTTTCTGGGAGTCCCCAGGCCCAGCTTCACATGAGGGGACCCAGCACTGCCCTCAACCAGGATATGTCCAACACAGCTGCCTCATGACCATGAAAGGACATCACTAGCAACCTGCTGACTGTCCAGCCACCACACAGCAGCCTCCCACCTCTGACAGGCTCTCTTGCGGGCTTCCCTTTGCAGCCACAAATCTGGCCGCCGCACAGCCAAGCACGCTGGACACTCAGAGCCAACCATGTGGCACCATACAGCTCAAGCACAATATGGTTGCCCATGACCTTCAGAAGCTTCTCAGCCTCCTTGATGCCGACCCTCACCACCTCCCTCCATAAGCAAGTCCTGGTGGCTGGTGCCCAGGTATGGGGGCAGATTCCTCTATCCCAGGTCCCAGGGAAAGGCCATCATCAGGCACAGACCTCTGGGGTATAAATCACCCACTCAGACCCTAGACCTTAAAGCCGCCTCCCACCCTAGTCACAGTGGTACCCCAAGGCCGGGGAGGGGGCTAGGTCCTCTGGGCATGGGGCCCAGCGTGGGTGGGGTGTGGTGGGGTGGAGGGGAGACAGAGAGGCAGGCTTCCTGGGTCTCCGTATGAGGACAAACAGCAGGCTTTGAGGCCTTGGAAAATCCCGCCCGGGATTCCAGGCCCTGCCAGCGTCACTGCCTTTTGACTATTGTCCCCAACGGAAACAGGCCCAGCCCCCGGCCAGCCAGGACAGAGCGACCATTGTGAGGCCCCACCAGGCTCAATGCCCCCTTGTTTGCCCTCCCAGCCCCTAGCAAGACTTGGAGGCCAGTTCTTCCAGTTGTTCAGTGGAAAGAAAGGGCCTGCCTCCAGGCTCCAGCCCTTGGGTGGGGCAGGGCGGGGCTGGAGAAATCAGCCCCCAGTCCTGTACCCCCATAGCAAGAGTTCTGGAAAGGAGCCACCATCCCTGGAGCTTCTTTTATTTTCGAGGTCTCGGCCAGGGAGACCTAGTGGTTAGGTAGTTAGACACACTCAGCTCAGCCACGTACAAGCCAAGTGACCTTGGGAAAGTCATTTCCTTTCTCTGAAATGAATTCTCTTTTGTAAAAACAATAGCTATTATTTATTGGGTGTTTGCTACGTGCCAGGCAGTTTGAAGCATTTTGTATGTATTCATTCATGTAATCATTATAGCAAGTTTATGAAATAGGTACAATTATTTCTCCATTTATAGATGAAGATGTTGAGACACAGAAAGTCTAAGTAGCTTGCCCAAAATTCCACAGCTGGTAAGAGCTGGAGCCAAGATTTAAACCCAGGCAGTCTGGTTCCAGAGCCTTTGCTCTTTTCCACTCTGCTGTGTTGTCTGCCTGAGAGGTGGGGATAACCGTAATGTCCTCATAAAGTAATAGTGAGGGCTAGAAATAACAAATATATGAGAAGAACCCAGTGGGCAGTGGAGCATAATATGCGATAACTATTGTCATCACTACGGGGCTTAGAGGTCTGTAGAGACCAAGTTTCTCCACTGCCCAACCCCATCCCTGAGCCTTGGCCCCTCTTCCAACACCCAGCGGTCCTTTGCCTTCCCCCCGGGGCTGCCCACACCTATGCAGGATAAAGGCAGGATATGGAGGAGAATGACACAAAGGGGGAAGGACTCAGTCCTGATTTCCCAGCAATCTCTGCTCCTGAACAGAGCACTGCTGCCAGACTCACCTCTCTACTGGACAGATGGGGGAAACAGAGGCTCAGTGAGGAGGAGGGGCTTCTCAGAGAGCAGCACGGAGTTGGAGGCAGGGCTGAGGACAGCAGCAGATCTCCTCACACACACACACACACACACACACACACACACACACACACACACACACACACACACACACACACACACACCCCGCGGCCTTGCTAGGTGCTAGTGCTGCAACAAAAGTTCACTCAGATCTGGCGGGGGTGTCAGGGACACATGCTTGGAAGTCCTCACACTGCTGGGAGTGGCAGTCACCATGCACCATGCACAGAGCCCAGGGCTCCCCACCCTACCCACACGTGGATGCTTCAGGAGGCCTGGGCTGGACTGTCTTCCCAGAGCCCAAGTGAGGGCCCATGGTTGGGATTCCTTGGGGACCAGCCGGCTGTGGCTAGAGGCTGGGGAAGGACCTTGATTCTGTCCTACTCTGCAGCAGAGCCCTATTTTGTTTGATTTCCATCCAACAGGGGCTGCTTCATCCAGCCAGGGGCCCCCGGGGAGGTGGAGACACCCAGGAGGTGGGCCCTAGGCTAAGGGTTGTAAGAAACAGGTGTGAGGGGTACTGCCTTCAGGTTCTTTGAGAAGCAAACGATTAGGCTGGATGGGCACTGAGTGCAGTGCAGGGGGCGGGACGTTGCATGGCGGCCAGTTATCTTGGGCTTCAGGGTGGGGTCGATCTAGGTTCCTGTTTCTCAAAAGAGTAGCCCCCAGACCACCTGCATCACCAGCACCTTGGTGCTTGGAAAAAGTTTATTCATAGGCCCCACCCTTCACCAAATCCAAGTCTTCGAGGTACAACCTCGAAATCTGCATTTTAAGTTAGCGAAGCAATGATGATCTCAGGGGTTGGAGAACCTACACGGGGGCAATTGGGCACAGGTAGGGACCTCAGAGCCATCTTCCTGCCGAGGGTTAAAGGCCTGCCAGCAACCTGAATCCTCTTGCTGGGGTTGCGAGGCCTGTGGGAGGAATGCTGAAGATAGGGATAGAGTAACAGCTGCTACCACCAATCTGGGCTGCCCTGTACCCAGCCCCATGCTGAGCACCACCCCCACACTCCTGTAATTCCAGCAGCCACGAAGTGGTCTATGCCCATTTTACAGATGTGGAAGTCAAATCAGAGACCATCACCCCAGGTCAGGACTGGGACAGCAAGAGTGATGCTCTTATCCCTTGGCCAGTCAGCCTCTGCTGCAGACCCCATCTATAAGACCTAAGTTTATCGGAGGCTTTCTAGCGTCAGAATCTAGTCTGAGTGCTTTTGCATAACAACCCCATGAAGCAGGTTCCATTAGTATCCACCTTTTATAAAAGAGTAAACTGAGGCCTGTGAGCTCAGGTTGGCAACATCCAAGATTTATCTGGTCACCTCTGTCTCCTTATGTAATTATGGAGGGGTGGAGCTGGGAGGCAGTATCAGAGATAGACAGGATCCCGGTTTCAGCTACATGTCTATTTTTTATTCAATATATTAAATATATTAATCAGAAAAGTCACATACTATAAATCCAGGAAAATACACAAATATAAATGTCAGAATCTGTCATTTGCCTTTCTCCTAGAGTGAGTTTATGTACATATGGAAGGAGGTGGAAAGAGACAGCCAGTAGGAGGCTAGGAAAGGCTTGCCCAGGCTGGTGGGGCCCACCCCTCCCTCCCA